CAAAACCCAGGGGCACCCTTTAAGGGGGACCAAATCCCTGGGGACAGGTTTTCACCGGGTGAAAAACCCGGAAAATTGAGGCCGGGGGCCGTTCCGGGGAAGGAAAGGGGGGGGGGGGGGGTTTGGGGGGCCCCCCCCCTTTTCGAGCCCGGGCCAGGGGGGGGGGGGGGGGGGAAAAAAAAGGGGGGGGGGGGGGGAGGGAAAACCGGAGAAAAAGGTTTTTCCGTGGTTTTAAAAGGGTTTTTTTTTGGGTCCCGGGGGGCCCCAACAGACCGGTCCAGGGGGGGATCCCTTTCTGGGGGGGGGGCCAAGGCAAGAAAACTTAAAATTTTTTGGGGGGGGGGCCCCCCCCGATTTGGGGGTGGGTGGACCCCCCTTTTTTTTTTTTTAAAAAACCCCCCCCCCCCCCCCCCCCCACAACCCAGCCCCGTCGTCCCCAGGGGCAGGGGCAGGGCAGCGAAGAGCGACAAAGAGGCAGCGGGTCTTCTAGAGCGGGGAAGTGCCCGTCTTCTTACAACAGTCATTCAATGAACAATCCTTATTGCACTTCATTCAATTGGGTCCCCTTCTTGATTTCCTGATTGGGGAGTTTTTTTTTTTGTTTCATTTACTTTATTTTGGTAACAGGAATTTTGGGGATGCGGCAAGAGTGGCAAGTTGACTGTGTTTCTTCTTTAAAATATATACTCTCGTGCATTTATCTTATAAAATTTGGATGAATAGATATCAAATCTGCGGGAAAGTTGCACCTTGTTATTTGATATTGGGATCGAGCAAGATTTCATTCAAAACAAGAGGGGGTGGTGTGGTATAGCATGAAGCTGTGTGTGCTATGAATAAATGTTTTTATTTGATTTTTCCACTGTTTTTATCAATATTGGTGAGAATTTCATGGAATCATTGACGGATGCTATGAGAATAAAACTGAGTGTAGTCCATATTTGATATATGCAACCTTTCATGAATAAAGATGATGGCATACCAAAACTTTTGTAAGAACATAATGCTAAGATAGTTCACTTGTACAAAACCATACGTATTTTTTTAATTTTAGTTTATCACTATACAAAAACTATTGAGATAATAATGCATATTTTTTCTTAATTTAACCAACATGCAGTATAATATTTTTTTTAAGTTGTTACATTTAATATTAATAATATTAAAAAGAGCATGGTGCATGATTTTCTATTTTAATTGTCCTACAACCCAGTAAGAGACAATTCTATTTTAAACTATCAAGTATCAACAATATATATATATATATATATATATTTATTTATTTATTTACCCAACAAGTACTAAAATCATAGATATGAAATCATTGTTATAATGTAATATTTGATGTTGAATTGACAAAAAGATGTTGGTTTTGCAAAAAGTTTTTCATGAAACATGTAAATTCTACCATATGCAAGAATAAACTTAGAAAAGAAACTACTGTGACTTTCTTGGTCACATCACAATCATTTTACAAATGTATATTTTAGAATTGTTCACATCAAATTCACAAATTAATGATGCTTTCAAGCTTATAAAATGCTTCACAATTAACTTAAATTAAAACTAGATATGTTTGATCTATCCCTCAAGTATTTTTAAATATTAAGTAATTAAAAATATATAAATCTGAAAAAAAGTCAGACATGAATGCATGGTAGAACTAAAGAGACAATAAGTCATTGATTATATTTGATGGTTATTTCTATAAAAATGTATATTTTTAAACTGTTTGAAAGTATAATTTTTTTAAGGTTGAGTCTAAAACAAAGGTATACATTGAAATATGTAACAAAACATAGAAATAGGCATGATATTTAATTTATTATTAGTATTGATGTTGTTAATATTGAGTGTAACAAATCATTGCATAGTTGAACTTTGAATTCTTTTAAAACAACTACAAAACAAACAACCATTTGACTATGATTTTTTTGACATTTTTTCTTTGATGTGCATTTATATATATATATAATGATATTTTTGGATTAAATATAAATAATTTAAGTTGCATAATTATTCTTAAAAATAAAAATTTAATATACGTGTATATGAATTAAAATAGGAAATATCTTTTTATATCATAGTCTTAAGTGATTGTTTGTCATATCATCCAATTATGTTGGTTGCACGAATCTCAATTAATTCAACAAAAACAGTGGTTATGCTCCACTTCTCCATTGCACAAAACCCAATCAAGCTTTTATCTGTTGTTTCAATTGCATTGTTTCTTCTTCATTTTTCCTGCATTACAAAGTGAGAGCACTAAAGCACTTATTGGTTTAAAAAAATATTAAATAGAAAAAAAAATAAAAAAATGCATGACTTGTTTTTGCATATTAAACTTTGATTATGGTTTGAAGTAAAATGTATAAAGAGAATTGTTAATGTTACATCCCTATCTCCAATTAATATTACTACATCCAATGTGACCTTCTCGTATCTCATGTGAATTTCTTGTACACAACTAGATAATAATATGTCTCATTCTTTTGCCCAATTTTTTCTTTCTTTGCTTTGAGAAAGGGTGGTGGTTGAGATGTAGATGATGAATATTTTACAAAAAGCAAATCATAGGTTTTTTTAAAAAACATGTATATAATATTTGCCTAAAAAATTGTTTAATTCAAAATTTTGTTTTGTTTTTTTTATTTGGGTGCTATTATCTATCTATATATATATCTATATATATATATATATATATATATATATTATTTTTGGGTCAGTATTGAGATTAAATATTGGATTTTTAAATATGCCCAAAGCATTGAAGCCTACTTTTTAGTCAATTTAAGTTGTGCAGAGGTCACATGGAGAAGTTTGGCAAACTTCAGAAGCATTAACAACATTTCATTGAGGAAAATAAAACATTTTAAAAATATTTTAGTTGTTTCATAAAACAAAAATCTTAATAGTACACTCTAATACAAAATTCAATTTTTTACATTGATCATGTTTTCTTGATATAAAAAATTGATATGGTGCATCAATAATTTTCTTTAATTGATTACTTTCAAAATATAGCAAGAGGCTCTAATGCTTATATATATATATATATATATATGCATATAAATATCTTTATTGAGCTATATTTCGATTTTTATTATTTATTTTATTAACTTATTAAGATTCATTCAATAAGTGCACTATTAGTAGTTGATTATATCTGTGTTCAATACATAATTTTTATATAATATTTAAAGATTTATTTGAATTTATATTAAATTAACATCTATGTTTTTATCAAAAATTGTCTTTAGATGTAAATGTAATTCTATTGCCTTTAATAAATACAATAGAAACTTCAAATACTTATAAAATAATTAAGAACATATTTTCAATTTTCCAAGTGTCTAAGTGAGTTAAATTAAAAACATGTTGTAAATTAGCTAAAATTATAATTTTAATCTTGAACATTCTTCTAAATCATATAAGTAAGCAATTTTACTTGTTGTTTGTTTGTTTCTTTGAATATATATATATATATATATATATATATATTTATGAGCTTGTGTGTGTGTATATCTATATATCTTCAATGAACATGGGATTCATAGTAAATTATAATTACTACAAATATTTAGTCAAGTGAAAATAAAATTTTGACCAAAAGTGTGTTCTCTTGTATATATATATATATATATATATGTAGCTTGAATGTATAAAATGAACTATTACAATTTTTGTCATATATATATATATATATATATATATATATGTGTGTGTGTGTGTGTGTGTGTGTGTGTATTTGTTATTGTTCTAATTAAAAGATAATAAAAAAAGAAGTAATTTATTACTGCTATTTATTCTTAAATAAACTACTTTTAAAAAAGAATAAAGAAAAAAGAACCTTGATCAAAAAATGATAATTGAACTACTTTTATGTTCACTGTGATTGTTAAAAAAATAAAAAAATAAAAAATAAAAAATAATAATAAAAAGCTAAAATGAAAAAAAGAAGAAGAAACAAAACAATACATTTTTTTGCTTAGCAGTAGAAAATTAAGTACTTTACAGCGCTGCTTTTTTTTTTTACAATAATATGAAACATTACATCTTATACTTTGAGATTAGTTTTGTGAACTTCAGAAACAATGAAAATATATTTTAACGAATACATTCCGTTTTGATTTATTTGTTGGTGTAAATGTTTTCCTCCTCACAAGAGCCACCTTACCCAGTATTTTTTGAATAGACAAATTATGATTTTGACTATTATTTATCTTGTGTATGTCATGTACGTATTCATGTTCCAAGTAAATAAAAAATATATATAAAAAAAATCTGTATTTGGCTGTATTTTAATGAGATTTTTAGTTACTCACATGACTGCATGTGTCAAGTACAATAATTGCCCACTATTACTGTTGTTATTGTTACCAATAGAAAAAATTATAAATAAATAAGAAATAAAATTATCCCTATTTCAAAGATCAGTTGTATTAGTTTAGATTACCAACAAATGTAGAGTATTTTTAATTTTACAAATCCTTTCGAACCATAAAATATTAATCATAATATATTTGATATTTATTATTGGCAACATAAACATAAAATTATGTACTATAAGCATAAAGTTATGCATATATCAACTACCTTTGAGGACCACTCAAATACCCTGACTTTTGAATAGCAGAATATATAAATTACCTGTAGATTATATTTTGTTTTGTTTGTATGTTTGTTTTTTTTTTCTAAACTTGGTGGAATCTGATTGCTTTATATTCGCAAAGCTAAACTCTAAAACACAAACCCAAGTTTGAATTAATTGAAACGCTGTTTTTCTTATATTAGGACTTTTTCTAAATCAGAAGTCTGAATCTACTTAGCACATGTGTTTCAAAATTGATTGGATCGTATTTTTATTGAATAAAATAAAATAAAACAAAAATGTATGTATATATATATATATAAATATATATTTAAAATTTCTCCTATACGCTTACGTCATGTAGTGGAAGCCCTTCAATCAATCAAAAACATTAGTTAACACCATACCAAACCTTAATTGAACAATTAACATCTTCTTCCTATGAAAACCACGATTTTCGGAGAACCCTTCGGGAACGGGTGGGAACGTCGTTCTATCGCCTAATAATAATCGCCAACTTGCGGAAGCGGCCCGATCCATGGAACAGGGCGTGACGGAAAAGAAACCCGCCGCCGCTGCCGCCGTCATCGCCGGGCTCGGAAGTGAACGCGAACAGACGTCCAAAGGCGTCACGTCACAGCACCTACCAGCACGCGGCGGGGAATAGAAATGCGCGATCCACCACGCGACGCCGAATGCGCGGCAGCGGTGGTCCAAGTTGCTGGCGTCGGTGGCGAGTTGCGTGATGTGGGGTGGTGTCCTCGCGATCTGGGCGGGGCATGGAGTCCTCCAATGCAGTGGTCCGATTGGGTTTCCTCCTTCGCTACCGATTCATTTTCCTGTTCCGCGGGAGACTTGCTGGTAGCACAGCACTGCCCTTGCACGCACTAACTCAGTTTCTTCGCTTCGCATCCCCTATTGCGAGGCGGAACCTGCCCTTTGAGCCTCCCCAGAGCGCGTGGGCCACCCCCCGACCCTATTCACCCCCCCACGCTTTTGACTTCAACGTCTCGCCTTCGTCTTGCCCTTTGAACGATCATTCTCCCCTTTCGTCTTCCAGCTTTCACTCTTCGTGATATACTTCTTGTGCTCACAGTTGAGCTCCCAATTGCATTCGCTTCATCTCTCCCGTCCTCTGTAGCTTTCGTCGCAAGGTGAGGCGCTTGGCTCTGTTCTTGAGTTTTCTTTCGAAGTATTTGGTGGCCCCTGTTTTTAAGTTTTTGAGGCTTTGGAACCCGCACTTATGTCTTGCTTTGTTCAATTACGTTTTGAGAAGGTTGCGTTGGTGCAAGTCCATTTGGGGTTTGTGTGGTGCTTGAATGGTCGAGTGGTCAAGTTTTAGTGTTGGAACTGCTTAATTGGGTGGTTTTGCTTGTTTCGTAGAAGTGCCCGATGGGTTTGGTGTTCAATTAGGGAGTGATACATTTAGATCGCCGTTTGTTGTACATTGGGGAGTTCATATCCAGGGTTCATGTGATTTCTTTCCTGTTGTGGGTGTAAGGTTGTTATTAATGCCCCCCCCCCTTCTCATAGTTTTCACTGAATCTGGATCTCTTCTCCAGACACTTAAAATTCAAGCAGAAGTAACTGGTCGGGGTGCGAACACGCTGTGTCCTATTTTCGTAGCCGTGAAGAAAAAGAAGGTTTGTACAATTTTCCGCAGGGTGTAAACTATGGCAAGACGGGGTCCTAGAAACCCCTTCGATGACGAGGATGCTTACCCAAAGCCACCTCGTGGTGGCAGTGATGGGAAGAAGGGCGTGATCAAAACTCAATCTGCAGATGATGATGAACTTTTCAGTTACGGGAATTCGAGGGCCAAGGGTGGATACCGCGATGGGAGTGGAGACCATGACGATGAGTTCGTTAATCAGGCGGTGGCGGATCTGGAGAAGCACGCCGTAAAGAAGTCGCAGGAGACTTCAGATACGCTGAGAAATTGTCTCCGAGTTGCAGAGGATACCATGGCCGTTGGATCCCAAACCCTCATAAGTCTGGTTGATCAGGGGGATCAGATAACGCGCACCCACGATAAGGCCGTCGATATTGACCAACATCTGAGCAGGGTATGCTTTTGTACTTTCTTGGGTTTCAGGATTTTAACTTTCTAACGTCTCTACCGCGTACTATGTGGCATTACAAACAGAAATCGTAAGGCGTAGACAGCATAGAATTCGCGACTTTACTCCCAGGTCTGGATTTGTAAATGTTAGTGCATCTAGGTATGCTTGCTACTTGGCAAGCACACTACAGTAGTGTCTTGTTCATTGTGTACTATCTGACGGTCTAGCCTTGCGCATCGTAGCGGAATGGTAATGATGAAACAGAATTCAGTTCGCTTGACTATTCTATGACAGTTTTACTCGTTGGGTAACGTCTGATTGCTGGTATGCGCAGGGAGAGAAGCTGCTGGGTAGTTTAGGAGGATTTTTTTCGAAGTCCTGGAAGCCTACGAAGACTAAGAAGATCACGGGACCAATGGTTGGCCGAGGTAATTGCTTAATCATTTCACCATGAATATAATTCTATGGTTATAGTTTTCACGGTAGTTGAAGCCTTCTGTAAATGTGGTTCTGAATGCCTCAATTCGTATTGTACAGCAATAGTTGCAGATGTCACATTTTGGGCAGTTCCTTTTATTATATGCTTCTGGTTTATGTGGTTTGGAAGGCTAGATTGGATATTGATCGTGTTACGTTGCAGTTAATCAGAACAACAAGGAGAGTGCCGAGGATCGCGAAGCCCTCGGTCTAAATGGGACTAATGAGAAGAAAAAGTCCGGATCTGGCTCATATCATGACAAAGAAACATTTCAGGGGCAAATCAATGTGAGTTTGTTTGAGTCCCGAAGCTAAGGAATGCCGTTAAATTATTTTTCTCCTGGTATAGGACTTGATGGATCTGTTTGTTGTATCTGTAATTTCAGACAACTTTCTTATTATATCTAGTCTAGTTGATGCTGATGGATTAGCCTTCTGATAGTTTGCATTTTGTGTTTATTACAGGCTGAAAGGGAAACCCAGGATGACATGCTTGATGATTTAAGTAACGTTTTATCTGTAATGAAGGAAATGTCAATGGATATGAATAAAGAAATTGAAAGGTAATATTTCCATTGTTGTTATTCAGATAAGCTAGCTTAGTGTAGTCTTCGATATACTTTGTGTATACTTTTTTTGTTATGTTTTTGTTATAAATCTACTGATTCATCTTTCTGTTTACAGACAAGCTCCTGGCATTGAGCATCTTCGTGAGGACGTTGAAGAGCTGAACCGTAGAACAAGAGATGCCAACATCAGAGGACAAAGATTGCTTCGAAGATGATTTGAGAGGGACTTTCGTTACAATCCACCATTTGGTTATCAAACATTTCGTTTCTCTTCGGGTTGATGGCGAAGCCTAAGCAAGCTCAGATTTGGGTTTCTGACCCTTAGTTCTGAGATTTGATCAGAGATAGAAATGATCTCGTTGTATGAATGGCCTTCGTCAAGCCTCATTGGGCATAAGTTGTAAAAGTAACGTTTATCCTTTGCAAACGCTATTTTTTTGAGTAGAACGTTTACATCCGTTTGTAAGTATGCGATTCAGGTTGTAACGACAAGGTTGCTTGGGCAACTGTATGTTCGGTACTTCAATTTATGTGGGGGCGTTTTTCCAGCTTCGGTCTCACGTTTCCGTCCTCTTGGCAGTGAATGTGGTTGACTTCTGCTAATGAGCAATATTCTTTGTTCAGGTTCCTTGTCTTGTGACCAACTTGCTATCTGTTTTATTCGTAACTAATCTTTTCAATACTAGACACTTTGTCAAGAAATTACCCCTGGCACATTCTACTGTTGAGATAGCACAAATGTACGACAAACTTCAGCTAGTAGTTTTTACACGAACTTTTATTCATATGTTCATAAATATTAAGTACACCAGGTTTTTACTAAATCGACCTGTGCATGAATTTTTATTCTTAAATATTAAATAGAGCCAAATTTTTACTGAATTGACCTGCCCATGATGAAAAATATGGTAATCATTATGAATGTGATTTTCATTGGTTTTGGATATAACAGTGGAGAAACAAAAGCTTTTATTTATTTAGAAACAAAAGATATTCATTTATTTTTTTTCATGATGAATTGGATGTGTCAGTTAATTTAGTAAAAACTTGGGTCTATTTAACATTCCCCTAAATTTATTATTCTGATTCTAATATTTTATTGTATAAAATATATCTTATTTGAAGGATGTATTAGTTTTGAAATAGTCTAAAAGAACTATTTACATATAAAAATGGTTTGAACAATTATCCAGTAATGTCTTCAGTTTTATCAAATGAAAGACATATATGTAGTAAAATGTTAAATATAACTTTAATACTTTCTTAAGATACTTGTTTGTCTATTTTTTAATGTACTAATTTTTTACATTAATTACTGATAGTTGAGTTATATTTTAAAAGTATAATTATGGAAAAAAACTCTTTACACATTCAAATGTAAAAAAAATTGATATTTTAAAACTCTTTTAAATATAAACTATCCACTATATATTTTGATTTTTTTTAATTTTATGAATAAATAACTAAATTTCAAACAAAATTTTATTTAATAATCTAAAAAATGTTGTTTTATAAGGCAAAAATTAATTATATACACATATCTATATATGCTTGTATACATATGATTTGTAGATTTCATGTAATATGCTAAAATTTCAATGCTCAATGTTGTTTAGACAACTTCTTTTCAATTAATAGTTTGATAGTTAAATTTTGCTTTAGAATATATAAATAAGACCACAACAATATGTGTCCTTTAACTTCTTTTAGATTTGATATTTTTTTAATTGCATAATGTATAAAATGAAGATTTTTTTGTTTTATGTTGCACATTTTACACTTTTTAAAAAATAATTAAAAATCAATCGCATTGTTCTTTGGTGTTTATGTAATGCCCAAATTAAAACAAACCAATGTTTTAGTATCCTCTAACTATTTTGGTGCTCCTAGAATTGGTCATTAGTTTGTTTGAGAATATAAAATATTTTTTCACCATTACTCTTCTTGTCCTTCACTCTCAAACAATCAATAAACAACTGTAAGGTATCAAAATAGCCAAGACGGGTACCAAAATTTCCATATCCAAAATAAATAATATACAGGTTCATTGCTTTTCAAACATAATAATATAGTTTTATATATTATTTCCTATATAAAGTCTGTTTTAACCCACATTGAATCTACTTATTATTAACTAATAAAAAACACATATACACTTATTCATTTCAAATATGAAACATTTTGTATCTACGATTCATATCTACACGAGTACACACAAGACAACCAAAACCAAGTATTCATGTTCATATTGTTTCCTAAAACTGTTCTACGGTGCTAGAGTGTGGATGAAACTATCTCATCAATCACAATTTTTGTCACAAATTTTTTACCTGGATCCAAGTGAACGTCCGTAAGATGGTGCAGCTTCATCTCCTTCAGGTCATGAGGACTGATTTCCAGGTAGTGTCAAGGAGCCCATACCACTCATAGTGTCCGAAAGCATAACCAGACTCCCACCACTCCTCTGGAATTCATCAATTCGTTTACCCAATATTTGTTCAACTTTCACATGTTCTTGTTTCTGGATGCCCCACAACTCCCTATTCACATTATGGAATCTCTTCAGCACCACAAACAATTTGCAACGATTAGGACACTAATGCCATATTTTCCCTTCTGATAATTGCAGTGAAGTCAGGAAGTAGCAAGCAATACCTATGCATCTGGCATGGTCCGTGTCTCTCTGCTTTCGAAGCTCATCACGTCCTTCGGCAGCCCATTGCAACAAAACCTCCATTTCGTTTTGTTGCTTGGTTCGGAGAGCTTGTTCTTTGAGTGCTACCTCAGCTGCATATGCAGCTATTGTTGCTCGTAGCTCTAAAAGCTCCATGCTGTCTGCAATGCGTTTAACCTCATCTGCCTCTAAATAGTTTCCTTGTTTACCAAGAAAGGTCTACACAAGCAGAGTATTGAAAAAATTGCTAGCTTGGTGCACATGCTTTCAAACAGCAAATCAAGGTAACTGCAAATCAATCATATGTTATCTACAGGTTATGGATTGCCAAGAGGAAATGAAGTTTCAACTTCATGCTCCCAACCAAAATGGCGTTCAGCCTGACATTGGTTGGTTACCTGCACTTTTCTGTGTTTTAGAAGCGCAGGAGACCACTGGGGTTTAGTGGGTGCTTTTGCAGTTGAGCGTTGCCTGAAGGCTTGTATAACACTGAGTTGTTCACGTTTCAACGTCGCTGCATGCTGCACTACTCCTTTGTGGAACTCGTGCAACTTCTCATCCCAAATCTATTCAAGTACAAGAAACACGCAAATATATTTCAGGATAAAAAAAGCATTAACTGAAGTTTTGGCAGCAATATATGCTGGGATATCCAACAGAGAAGACAGGGTTTGAATTTGGACATTGCATAGAAAGAATTTGCAGAGACTTTTCTGCTGAATATCCTACCAGATTTGTCGCTTCAGTTTCTTTTTCATGCAATCTCCCAGAGTCTACTCTTTCTTGTGAATGTCTTGAGCATGGCAGCTTTTCCCTTGTTATCTTCCAAGATCTGCAACCACATTCCAGTTAAATTCAGTATGAAATTTCAGCAGACGTGTACATTCTTGTATTAGCATTAGACAAGATCAAAAAACAATGAATACCTTCACACCATTCAGGCGTTGGGCCACAGCTCGTGCGTCCATGCAGTTTGCCCTCTTCTTCAGCTTTTTTCCTGTGTTCTTCTAGGGACCTGATAACCTCGACCACCTTCACACAGTTCAACACACAAGAGTAAATACAAACAGGATCTCTTTCACGTCGTCGCTGGTTTCTTCCTGAGAATCAAACTATCACTTCACCTGGTGCAGACACATTTTCATGGTAATCCAATAGATATAAACATTCCTTGAATATAAAACCATTATAGACACAAAGGATTAGTGAGGGGTATTCAGTGAGTACCTGCGGAGAAAGGGCAGGATAAGTAACCGCCATAGAAGTCCTCCGGATCGGACTACGTTGCAACGTTCGGAACGATCCAGCCGTTGTGGTGCCTGTCATGCTCACACTATTCCTGCACTCATTCTCATCACCCACACTCCACATGTCAATACTATAACTCTACATCTGCATTAAAAAAACTATGATCCTCATCAAAATATCAGGAAATCGGCGAGAAAATAAGAAAATCCATTACCTAGCTCCAACAAATGAAGGATAACGCGAATCCTTTCTCTCAAAGTGGGCTGCAAGCTGCACAAGCATAGCCCACAGCACGAGACTTTTTCAAAATCACTGCAAGTAGAATTTCTGTAACATCGTGACAGAATATTTCGAGGTTCATTACAATTGGACACCCCTGCTGGTATGCAAGGTTTACCACCGCAACGCAATACAGATCAAGCCTTAATAAATGACAAAGGCAGTGGAGGTATTGTGAAGCAATGGGTACCACGGAGACGGGGACGCCATCCTTCTGCTCAGTGGCATGGCTCGTCTTCTAGAAGAGTGAAGAGGCATTGTTGTCCCTGTCAGTGGATCCGGGGGCGATGACATCTCCACCCCAGTTATTTACATTTTCCGCACAAGGGCTTTTTCGTGTTTTTGAGGTAAAGACCAACTCCTCTCTGCCCTCATATTCGTCCAACTCCTCCACGAACTGAGTAATCTCCTTCTCCACATCAATGTGCTGGTTGAGCTGGATAAACGTGTCATCCCTCTCGCTGCTCAGAGGCTCCGGGGACCCGCTTCGTGATTTTTCTGAGCGAGGCTCTAGCCGTGCCAGAGACGGTGGCAAGGCACCATGGCTGGCCATATCTCTGCAACTTCAATTGTGCATCTTTTCCCCTGGCTTTTGCTTAAATGAAACGAGGAATGAAGGTCTCCGATTTCCAATTCACGAGTCCGATTGCCTATCCTGCGTCCAACCCGATCGACATTACGATTTGCATCGAGAACTCCGTTGTCCCGCCTGTAGAATGACGCATTGATCCATTTTCGGATGTGGTGGGAATCATGCAAGTGGCGCAGACTCTCCTCTGAAGTAATTTGAAAGTCCCAATCGAGTTCTGGCATGATATCCGCGTGCCCATTTGTGCATCCAGAAAGACGAAAAAGGGTGATTCATATATGGGTTCATGGTTTTCATTCGAGTTCAAATCTTGTAAAGTAAACACAACCCATTGCTGAAACACACATTAGCATCATGTAACACGAAATGATCTCTAGGCCACTGAACTTAGCAAAGGACCGCTCCAAGATTGAGTGGCAAGTACGAGTTTTTCTCGGCACCCTTTTCCTGTGCAGTTGCGAGACCCCATTTCGACACTCACCCAGCTGATGTCGATCATCTCCAACACTAAAGCTGTAGAGCGAGTGCACCTGTTGTGTTGTGAGGAGCTCAAAAACTAGGGCTAGGGTTTGAAGCTTCGGCAAGCATTCAGTTAGCATGTGATGTATTGCACGTCTCTTTGATGTAGAGCCCGGTCGTGCTTAGAACCTGTGCTCATGCTGCAATGCAGAGACCAAAGGGAGAAAGCACCTCGCCTGCATCGTTTGTTGCTCATAATGCTGCCGTCAGCCCTAATTTGTCTCAAGGGTACTCTTGTGCGCTTTGTATAGCAATTTGGGGCTGGTCTTTACTTCCAGGATTGTGTATTATTTCTGGTTTAGATATGGGTTTTGTTGTGATTTGACATTGTGGAAGTTTGTGATTTAAAAAACATAAAAATGTTGTAATGACATGTTTTTGAATAAGTAAAGTTTGTATTGCTTCAAGGATATATATCATTGATTTTTCATTAACCATCTGAATGAAAAGTAATTAGTATGTTTTTTTATAAGAATTTATGCCCAAAAATATTATAGTAGTGGCTTATTTACTTTGGATTTAACTTGCAAATAATAAAGCTTATTGTTTTTAATTTATATTAAAAAAGTAATACTTAAAGATATTTTTGAAGTTTCTAAAATTAAATCAATCTTGTAAGTATCTAAAATTAAATTCGTAGGGTTTTACATCTAATAAGTTATTCCCTATTTAGTTATAACATTTGCAAAGTTATAGAAAAATGGTAGAACTAATATGGTTCTATGGTACTTAAGTTATAATTGTGCCAAATTATAAGTTATAGCTATAATAAGGAAATATAGCTTATAGAGGAAAAGAAAGATAGAAGTAGAAGTGAAAGAAAAGGATAAAAAACATGATATGCAACTATTCCAACATTTGCTCCTCCTTAAGCACATTGGTGGTATCCTTGCCCTAATTTGCTTCATATTAGTAAACAAGCTAAATAATCTTATGGTCTTCCAATTCAATATATGCCATGCTATTTTCTTTAATTGGGTTGAGGAGACCCTTTATCAACATTAGACTTTGCAATAGAAGATGTTCAAGTGTACTTTCTAGCCCTCCCTCTACTATTCATTTATTGATGTCAACATTTGTGACTTAGTTTGAATGCTTGAAGAGCTCGGCGTGGCAAAAGTAATTGTTGATTGTAATAAAAGAGATTTCATTATTGGCTACAAGTGACCAATGTATTATTTTCAACTTGCCAACCTTGTATATGTTGAGTTTATTGTAGTCAAGGGCACATTACAAATAAAAATACAAACAATAAGGCTATATTACAACAATTATGCTTACATCCATAGGCTAAACTTTGGAATTAAAGTTTAAAGAAGTGCACAAATCTTAATGTTTAGAGTTGGACAATCATTTGTGATGTGTGAGGGCACATTGTCCATTAGCAAGATGATGTGTTAATTTGTCCTAGCTATCTTTGCATTAAGTTGTTTGAGCCATTATTAAAAAAGAATTTGGCCATTTTATTGGAGAAATAAGAAAATCCAAATTACTCTCTTAAGCAGCAATTGAAGCAACGAGACTTATTTGCATGGCCAATACAATAGTAAAAAAAAAAAAGAAACAATAAAAAAAACAATAAAAAAAAACAATAAAAAAATTATGACTTCTATTTACATTTGTAGTAGATGCAATTGTAATTTGTATTATTTCCTTTTTATAACTTATAATTTGTTGCTCAATTTTGTAAAAAAGTCTTATTATATATCAAAGAAGTCATAATTGGGAAGACAAACACACCAAGCAGACAAAGCCACATCAATTGCATTGTAATCAATAAAATATGCTCCTCTATGCATTATAATGAGTTTTAACTTATAGCAAGAAATGAACTTCTTGAATCACTTATTAGAAAATTTGATGATGCCTTTTGGAATGGCAAGATGTTCAACAAAATATCAACCACAATCTTTGATTAATTTTGAGAAAAATAATTTTTTTTAAGAATGGTGTTGCAAGATCCACAAAATAAGGGCTTCTTTGATTTTTGAGGAGTGGACATTCTCCTTTGGTCTTACATAAAGGTGGTTAATATCCATTGCTTTGTAAACATTGCATTTCCTATTTAACTTTAAAGTAATTTTATGTTCATTTATTTATTTTTTACTCCATGTATTATCTTGGTAAATTGACATATATTTGTCAAATTGTTTTGGAGTTTAAATGTAAAATTGTTTTGACTCTAGGTTGGATATATATATATATATATATATATATATATATATATATATATTATAAAACAAAAAACTAAAAATCAATTTTTATATGATATGTATCTTTTAAAAAAAGTTATACATATATAACAAAGTTTTCAAAATATATATATATATATATATATATATATATATATATATAAAAGTTAATATTAATTTTTTAATATTTAAATATTTATCAACATAAGTTTAAAATACCAAAGTGTATAATTTTATAAAACATTCAAGGATCTTCATTCCAATATATATGTATACACTAAAGATTATGTAAATCTCATCAACATATAGCTAGATAAGGGCCAGATATTAATTTGTTAAGAAAACCCATAGTGTATTTCTAAAATATAAATTTAAAAATAATAAAGTATCAATAACTTAAAATTTAAAATTATTTTTCGGTTTAAGATTATTATTATAAAAATTTACAAAATTTAAATATCTTTATTTTTTTAATAAACATTTTAAGAAAATAATTAAATTTTAATTTTCTTACTATTGATGTTAAATTATTCTAATTTTTTAAAATAACAAAATATTTAAATGATATGTAAAACTTATTTTTTGGATTACATTTGGATGCATTAAAAATAGATATAAAAATAGAATATTAAAGATGATAGTTATTATATTTAGATTTGAACATATATTTATATAAACACATTATTAGTTTAAATTAAAACTAAATTGTTATTCCATAAACTTTATTTTTTGTTTCTAGATTTTTTAATAATTAATTTACATGATCTCTTTTAATAAAAATCAAATTATTTACTTAAGTAATTTTTTTAATCTCATGCTAATAATATTAATTAAAAAATAAAAATATTAAAATTTAAACTAATTCAAAATAAAAATATCTTAATTTAAAAAAAGTTTAATATCTACTCATGAATTATATTGATATATTTTTATTAGATTTTTATCAAATAATATAATATTTTGGCTAATAAATCAGTTTAATTCTAAATAATTATAACAAAAGTTATATTTTTGTGTTACAAAATTATGTATACAGTTTTTATATTTATTGAAAAATAGTTACATTTTTATCAATAAAATTAAATATGTATAGCCAAATTATTTTTTGGAAAAAAAAAAGATAAGATAAAAGGTAAAAACATTCTATGCCAGACCAATAGGTATAAATAGGTGCATCAAAAAGGAATCAAAGAAAACATTATTGTATACTTTGGCACAAGATAAATTTTTATGTTATTATTGTAAAATTTGAAAATTATAGTTTACAACAAGATAAAAATAATTTATCTAAGTAAAAATTTAAAATAATTTAGAAGATTTTTTTTTTTTTTTTTTTTTTTTTTTAATATGGCTTTTGATAATCACATCCAATCTCTATTATGTGATCAATTTGTAGATCTAGAAAACAATATTAATTGTTCCTTCAAAATTTGGATTGATTTCTGTCACGGACACAAAATAGAGACTTGAAATCTAACAAGAAGTTCAAGAAGAAGTGGCAGAACTAGATTAAACAGATGAGTACAAGAACAACACCAGAAAGGTGAGCTAGAACTCCAAGAGATGTGTTGTCGAGACTGAAGAACTCTTCAGCCTCGACTCCTATATATACTACTGGCCTATGGTTCTAAGGAAGCGCATCAAGAAGCTTCCCAAGAACTATGAAACTTCTCGAGCAACTACCCAAGAGCTAGGAAGCTTCTCAAGTAACTTCCTAGAATCTACTAGAATATTCTAAGAATCTTCTAGAGCCTTCTAAGAGAATCTTTAGGGAATCTTCAAAGAATCTTTAGGGAATCTTTGAAGAATATTCTAATAGAATATTAAAGGAATCTTCTGGAAGTTTCTAGAGACTTCTTTCTAGAAGGTTCTAAAAACTTGTCTCTAGAAAGGTCTAAGGACTATATCTCTAACAATTTCTTTCTAATAAAGTACAAAATTGTCTATCTTTTATTTTTAAAAAATTATCACGAAAGTTTTAAAATCGAATTTAAATATATATTTTACTATACATATTTTTAATTATTAGCCAAAACACTTATACTTTAAGATAGACACAAAAAAATGAATGAAAGAAATTTCTTTAAATTGCAAGTCTCTACTAATTGTGCAAAATAAATATTTTCTAGGAACAACTTTAAAAAAAAAAAAAAAAAAAAAAAAAAAAAACTCTACATGTCAATTCCAACGATTATACCTATAATCAACCATCCAAATTTTAGTGTAAATATTTTCACCTCAATAAAACCTCTAAGCTGACGACCCAGTGGACCAAACCGGTTCGAAAACCGTTGGAAGACTCGGAGATGAGCGATCCAACAAGTGGATGGCATTGCGGAATGGTCCAGTATATAATATGCCCACGTCGATATACCTCCGAGCTGAAACGGGGGGAGGGATGGCCTGCACGCCCGGATCCTGTTACGAAGTATTGGTGTAAGCCATCAATCACATGTAGGTGGGTTCAGCTGTTTCGACAGAAGCGGGGGAATTCAGGTATGGCCGCCATTGCTGCGAAGCGCTGTTCCGTCGAGTGTGCTCTAATTACACCCTCGTAGACGGGTCTACTTTTAGAGATTTGGTTGGCGGATTCGTACATGCACCACAAGATGTCGATCCGGCTTGTGCGACGATCATGCCGCATTTACAGCCGATTCATGTCTAAACCAGGCGATGCAAAGGAGAACTTTTTTAGGATATGTAATGCTGGACGGTTGCGTCGACCCTTGCTTGCATTGAAACTGGCGCTGCGTTTTTGTAGCGGGTGTGGATTCCATCACCACGTTTCGCCTGATCTTCGGAATAGGAAGGCATTCACGCCTTTCTAGCACAAGGGGCTTCTGCTTCTGAAATATGATTCTCATCTTCCACAGACGTCATTATAATATTCGCAAACGAAGCCATGAGCTCACTGCGGGACGGCGCGGCGGAAATTTGAAGCCGTGTGGAATTCCGGAACTTGTCAGTGGCAGCTTTGGGGGTTCCGTCTTTTATGTTTTTATTTTATTACACTTCTGTAGCGACTGTCGATTGCCTACGTTTTGTACGGCGCGGCGCGGCGAAGGGATCTAACGTTCTAGTCTAGACTATATCAGCGATGGTGATTCAGTTCCTCACAGGGTAGTGTCGATAGGCGCCGTCTTCCTGGAAACGGGATCCGCTGGTTCAGATTGATGGTTGATGCTGGTGATGATTTGAGAAGTCTGGAGTCGCCCTCTTCACCGACATGGTTTCGTCACGTTTGCAATGGCTGCTAGCCGTGCAAGTGCTGATTGCCCTTAGCAGCCTGGATTTGTTGGTTTCGAGTGTTGAAGCAACTCCACGTCATTTCTTCAAAGGTTTCTCTCGCAAGACCCCCTACATCTGTTCCTGGTTTCGCAGTTGCTTGGGACGGATTTCGTGAACTTGGTTCTAGTTTTTTTACATGTGGATCTGACGTCTGTTTCATTTGCCGAAGTGTATTATCCTGAGTACTGGAGTCAGCATTCGGTGTTTCGAACAATATTCTCACATTTCGGAATGAACTATGAAAACGGGTTTCGATGTTTGTGCCCATTACCAACGTCATTGAATATTTACCTACTCTTTCACTGGAGCATTGCATTTCTCATTTAACTCATGAAACTGATTTCAGGGCAGAAAACCCAAAAAACAAATGGGCTTGACAGTAGTGGTCCAGCAGGATTAGCTTCCAAGATACACGAGGAAAGCACTTCAAAGGAAGTGGAAGTGAGTATACTTTCTTCACGATAGTAGAAGCTTATCTCTAAACTGATGGATGCACTTCTGTTGAAACTTTTGTAGTCAACTTCATTTCAAATTTAGTCCCCACCTTTAGCTAGATGTTCCAAGTACTATGATCGACAACATTGATGTTTTCTAAATCATGATTCCAGATAGAAATATCCTTTTTCACACTATGTAAGTGTGCACAACAATAACAGCGTTTCTAGTAGTTTTTGGAATCTCACGCCCCGATGCTATGCTCCAGCAGTTTACAGCGGAGCAGCTGAGCAGCAGCGAAGATTTCAGGACGTATCGTCCACGGCTTCGGTCTGAGAGGGAGAGGTTGCTGCTTGCCAGCACCAGAGCAAAGAAGGCACGTGTCAAGAAACGGTTACCGCCTAAGGCTGCTCCGCCACCTCCTAAGAACAGCCGACGAATTGTGGCAATCCCACCTCCACCGCCGCCTCCAAAGAACATCGGACGAGGGAGATGCTCACCTTCTCCACCACCTCCACCGCCTACTCCGATGGCGTCGTACAGCTTGGGGAAGCGAAATCATTAAACTGGGACCACTAGCTGGGATTATCGTCCCTCGATTCCATATCCGTCCTGCAACGCAATTGCGTCGCGCAATGGTCGGTGCCCATCTTCGCAGTGCCCCCTTGTGAATGCTTTTGTTTCAATGCTTTTCTGATTGCTGTGGGTGCGATGTCGAGATCGAAGTGAACTGGCCCATGTCTAGATTGATTGTGTATCTTTCCGCATCGGTGCCCTTGTTCTCTACTGATCTTGTTACACCCCGCACCCTTGACCTCAGATTCGTATAATTCTTTACGACATTAGTCGTAGTTAGGGCCCATAGTCGAATTCTTACGTAATACATGTATACGCTAGTGAAATCTTACGATGTTTGGTGTTGAAATCGATTATGGCCATTCTGCTTTAATCTTCCATTTTGAAGGTATTTCTCACTGTGCTGTTTCGGAGACGACGGTTTGACTTACTTTATAAGCGCTGCTTGTCTTAACCTCTTCCGAAGCATTCCTTGTGGTCTTAAATCTAGAGTGTAGTTGAGATAAAGCAAGTTGACAATGAAAACCGTCCAGTGTGTCTCTTGTTTTTCTCCCATGTGGATTCCGTTTTTATTCAGATGTTTACAGCGTATTCGATTTATAATCTATCTCTCTTCTGTGTTGATTACAATACCTTCTGTGCTTTTATCGATAATTTACGCCTTTTATATTGCAAATACTTGTTGTATGTATCTTGATCCAGAATGGTGGAATGAATGCAATGTACCTGAGTGTTGAAAAGACATGTAAAATGTAACTATAGAACGATTAAACTATATCACCTGTTTTATTATTGCAGCTTTTGCTGTTAAGCTTCAATTGCTCGCGAAACCCTCGTGATACGAGAATTGCAATACTTCTCTTTCCGCTTACATTTGCTATGTAAATCTATAAGCAACACAGATTTGGAATACAAATACTTCAATTGCCTTTATTGGTCTTCTTAAATACCTACACCAAATTACAAGTCTTTATATTAATTTAGACCTTGAATAAACGACTAATTGGTAAGCATTAGTCGATAAGAGTGTATTTTATTTTTATAAATACTTATTACAATAAATAAATCTATTTTAATTATTTTTAATTTAAATATATTTGGAGAATATCAATAAGTGGCATCTATATTGTAATCCATTGTTTAAATTTACTTTTGGTGCAATTCTATCTATCAACATTCCACATTGTATATATTAGAAATGGTATATGTGTGCAAAGCAACAACTTATCCAAAGTTTTTTTACTTGTTAACAAATATGCAACTTTGATTAGAAATTTTTCTGTTGCAAAGTAATTGAAGGGAGATAGAAAAAGTCTAAATGCAACAATAACTAAGCCAACAAACTACTTGATTTGAAGTATTGACAAGTAAGGAATTGTAATGTGGAATGATATCACCTTCAAATAAATATTGCAACAGATTTGATACTTTTGATTTATCAAAAGTTCAAAATCCAACAGTAGGAAATTTAGTATGTAGAATGAAAGAACTTTGTACAATAATGAAGATACAATTAAAAGATGATAAAAAAATAATAAAAAATTATGCAAATATTTTTAAAATAGAACAATCTTTATTTAAAATTAGTAATAAGACATGGTTACTTTGTTATAATATTAGGACTAATTGACCTAGTAACAAATTAGATTATTAAAGGCTTGATCCATTTGTTATCACAAAAAAAAATTAATTTAATAGCAAGTAAATTTCAATTACGACTATGAATGAAGATCTATTAAGTATTCCATGTATCTCTAATTGAATTATATACAAAAATTAGCATATTAAAAAAAAAAATCACCACCATCTTTTTTGCTAAAATAGATAAAACATAAGAGTTTGAAGTAGAAGAGATCTTGGATTTAAGGTGGCCCTAAAAAAAATTGAAACATCTTATGTATTGGCGCAAATATAATATTTTTCAATACATGTAGAAACCATATTAGAATCTAGCAAATGCATTAATTTTTAATTTTAATTTTAATTTTAATTTTTTAATGACATAATTTATAAAAAATTAAAGAATAATCTTTGAAAAAAAGATGGTATAAATTAAAGAAAAATTAAGTGAAGAATCAATTTTTAGAACTTTATTGCAAACAAGAAGAATCAATAGCCAAAAAATTCATATTATGAATTTTTATTTACAAAGTTACTAGATAAAATACTTGGATTGTCTCAACTTGGTCAACATCACTATTTTGACAAAGATTCTCAAGAAAGATATGCTCTTCTTTGAATAAATGATAAGAAACAATATGTTTGGTATTATAACCTTCGAAGAGACTCTTGATATTTAATAATGTTAGAATTGTGTACTATACTTGCTAGAATATAAAATACATTATTTAAAAGTGGCTATGAAAGTTTCAATAATGATCAAATAACAAAGTAGTTTTTTTTGTCTTAGTAAGAGACATTATGGATAGTTAAAAGGACCTATCAACTACCTTTGTGTAGAACAAAGACCAAAGTTTGTTGGTAGTACCATTCAATAGATCTTAAATTTCATCAACTTATAAAGTAATGACATAATTATTTATAATTATTTATTTTTATTTTAAAATAAATAATGTAATAGATAGTCATTTATTAATATATTTACTTAGATAAATAGAACTAAATAGAAATAAATAGAAATAATTTTTAATATTAATAACTTATTTGAAAAGTTTTTATAAGATTTGTAGATTTAACATATTTATAAGTGATTGGTAGGTTAATAACTTGGACAATAAGTTGGCTATTTGTTACTTATTTAGCTACTTGTATTATAAGTTGATCATTTGGCATTCATATTAGAAACTTATTCTACAAATTAGACACGTGTTCTATAAATTGGACACGTATTATATGGCTTATAGAATATTTCCACGTAATTCGTTAGTAGATAGTGTACATAGAGGTAAAAATGAGGCTTTCTTTGTTGTTGTTAATGCCTTTCTTGTGCTCTATCTTGGTGCAAGACTTCCTAGTCATTTTGTATTTGGAAATAACTATTTTAATTTTGATTTTATATCTATCTTTAAATTTTAATTTAATTTTAATTTAATTTAATTTTTTGGTTATATGAGAATGTATTGTTATTTTAAGTTTTTTTTATTATGATTCATGCCTTTGATAGAGTCTTACTAAGTCTTGAAAGAAATTATTTTAGTTTTTTTAATATTTTTTCTTAATAATAAGCCATTATGTTTTAATTATTGAGATCAATATCTACACTAGCCTTCTATCTAAATGTATTCCACATCCAAAACTTATAAATGTAAGTTAATAGGTAGAAGAATCATAAAAATAAATTCCATGGCTTTTTTAATTATTTTTATATATAAAAAAATAAGTTTATTTTATTACTATTATAAATCAGTAATATATAATAAATTAGTTTTTAATTGGAATTAAAGTTATAAAATATTATTGGAATTTTTAGAATTTATTTAAATATTTTAAGGAATTTTTATAATATATTTTCAAGACCTTGGTATAAATAGTTTTACAACCTTGGGAGGCTGTTACAAAGAATTTGAATAAGGTTTGAAGGTCTTTTATAGTTTTTAGGCTGATTTAATATTTTTAAAGACCAAAGTGAAGTCAAAAATTTCAAAAAAGAGATTTTATTAGAAAAAATTAGGAATACCAATCGCTAATATAGCAATTGTAAGAAAAAAAATGTATACATGTCTTACAGAGGATGTAGGACCTTAGATATAGGTAGAAATATAGGACTAGGGCCATGTCTTTATCAAAAAATGCCCAAAAATATCCATTCTAACACAACATTATACTAAAAATTTATACCTAAAGCTTTTCTTTTAGTGGTTTTGTATATCAGGTACTTAACTTGCACTTCGACATTTTCAATTTAATTATTAGTTATCCATGCATGTCTACAAATATTAATATCAAATAATTTCTTCAAATTTTTTAAGTAGTTTATTTATGAAAAATCAAATATTATAAGTTTTAAAATTATTAATAAGAAAGGTGTAGAATTAAATGTAATATATATATATATATATATATATATATATAGATATATATATATATATATATATAGATATATATATATTATACATATATGTATAATATATATATATTTAAATATACAAAAATATTTATGAGAAATTTGAAAAGGATATAAATTATAATTTATTCAAAAGTTTTTTCACAAGGTGCTATTTGAAGTGTCTATTCATCTGGTGCTAAGTGTGAATTGGATATTTAGTCTACTACAACCATTTAGTTTGTTGAAGTAAATTATGATACTAGTGATGAAAAGAGTCCTTTCATTGAGTAAACACATCTATTGCACAAATTTTAGATGGTCATTATATACATATAAATGCTTAAAATAACTCACTATATCATGCAAATATGTATGTTGTGTATACACTTATTATCACATGATCCCAAGTTAGTAGAATATGGTTCATTCAATTGAAAATGATACTAATGCAAGAACTATGTTGCAACAAAAAAAAAAATAGATCCATTATTGGAATACATCAAGTGCACCTCATTAGTGAATAGCAAAATTCTTGCAATCAATATTTTCAAAGTTTTACTTTCATCAATAAAGTTGAAAATAAAATTTAAATAGGAAAATTTTGGTATAAACTTATTTTTTATATTTCAATGTATTCAAGCATGAATGCCAAATGTTTTTTTAGAATCTCCAAAGTTTAAATAGAAGTTACCGCTAGAGCTAATTTTGATGCTAGATGGAAGCCATCCTAGGCAGATTTTGATTTTGTCTCTTCTTTATTCTTTTTTTTTTTAAAAAAAATATATTATTATTCTCTTGATATCTGATTTAGGTATAGTTGTTTGTATATAGTCTCAAATCATGTAATTCTAAAGATACTCATTTAAACAAGCTTGTAATTCTAAACCTTCAATTATTATTGGAAATACTCTCAAGTATATCAAAAAATAATTATTAAAAAAAGAAAATCTTTACATGATGGCAAAAAATAAAATTATCTATAAAACCATTACTTGATTTTTAAGTTTTTTTATAACACATATTGATTTTTATATAAAAAGATATTAGATTAAAATGTCAAAATATTGATGCTAAAAAAAGGTATATATAAATTTTTAGTTGATGCAACATATTACCTTATTAAAATGTTTCAAAAGTCCTAACAACAACAACAAAAACTATGTATATAATAAATTAAAATCTTACAATTTTTAATTTTGATTTAAGATTTAAGATTTAGAACTTAGAATATTTTAGAAATAAAGTGTAAATAAAAATTAATTTATATTTTTTATTTTATATCCATAGTATGAATAGAGACTAACTCAAATTAGATATTTTAAATTCATAAAATATTTAAAATTAATTTAAAAATTAAAATTTTACCAAAATTATAAACTTTAATCTAAAAGCATAAAATTCTAAATTTTAAGTATAAAATCATATTAATTCTAAACTTAAAAGTAAAAAAAATTCAAATTCAATTTTACATATTTTTATAAGTTTAATTTCTAATGTCTATAAATCTAAAATAATTTACAATAAATTATTAATATCTATGGAATCTTAAATTTTAAAATATTAAAATAAATTAATATAAAATTTCTAAAATTCATATATTTTTATAATAAATTAAAAATAATAA